GCTGTGTGTAATTAGCAGTGTGCTTGTACCACAGGGATCTGGGTTCCCTGCAGTGCTGGCTTAGCACAACTGTGAGTGCAAGGGGAATGAAAGTCCTTGGCTCCCATCTGCTTCCCATGGGAAGGAGTGCTCACTCATGTGTTTTTGCATACACAGTTTTGTCCTAGATGTTTATCTACCCCCAGCAAAATAGATGCTTTCCACCTGTGTGACTGTGTGAGGACGTGGTTTATGGATGCCAGTGGCATGCTGCTGGATGTCCCGTGTGACTGTGAAGTGTCAGTGAAGGGCAGTGTTGGCAGGAGCACTTGCTTGTCCAGATCAGCCTTTCTCCTGCAGGGTCTCTCCTGTCCTGCAGCTCACCCCTCTCCCTGCAAAGCTGCTGGTGCAGGTGCCCTTTGAGGAAGGGCAGAAGAGTGATGTGTCAGCTGAGTACTAGACTGAAAGAATATTTAACTGCAGTTTTCTCTCCTGGAACTGAAGAATTAGTGGTTACAAGTAGGAGATTGAGTGGGTTGAAAATACCATGTTGCTTTCTAGCTGTAGGAATGCAACCTAAGTAGTGCTTTCAAGCTGGGAGAAACAAGAGGCTGTCCAGTGGTGACCAAGTTTCTTGAAACCTGTTTTCAAGTTCTTGCTGAATATGAGGCCAGCTACTATTTTACAAAGTTGGCCTAATCTGGAAGCTTCTGCAGGCATGAATGTTTCCTAGCACAAGGCTCACCATCCTGACAAACACCTAGCCTCTGCTAGGAAATCTCATCTGAAATAAAAAGGAAACAGCTTGAGATGCCATTTATCCTGGAGCACAGTCAGCAGGGTGTTTGGCCACAAATGATTAGTTATACGAAAATAATGGTAACTTTAAAAATTCACTCGTTTCCTGGTATCTGCATGCTTTCAATACTTATTTCTATTTTACACTTACATAAGGAGCTCGGCAGATTTTAATTGTCGAGACATACATGTCTGTAAAGGGAAGGGTATCTCATCAGAGAAATCTCTGGAATGTATCAAGAATAAATAATAAACGTTTAGATTGTTATGTCTGGCAGTGTGTTTTGACTTGTAACCTGTATAAGTTAGCAAATTATATAATACCTAAAAATATTCGGGGATAGTAACATTTTAATTTATTTTTTTTTTACTGAAAGGTTTTGTGTATTTCAAGACACTCAAATATTTGTAGAAAATTGAAACATTTGGGAAAGTCATTTGAAAGGAAGGTAGATCTTTGCAGTCCTAAGTGTCTTATTGCAATCCAGAATAATGAATAAAAAGATAAATGTTTTAAAACTGCATGTTGGAATAAGAGCAGGCAACTCCTGCCAGTGTGTTTTAGGTCCAATTGTATTAATATTTTTCACTAAATAATAATTAGATATGTGCCATTTGAAGCATTGTGCACTTATTTCCTTCATTGGCCATGATAGAAGCAACTAAAAATATTTATTGAGTTCTTTAAATATAATAGATGCATTTCTGCTTTTTGTTCCATAATATCCTGTGAACTTTAAAAGTAAATGAGTACCACTGATTACAAAGATGACATTCCTAATTATACAGAAGCCTTCAATTTCTAAAATTATTTTTTAAACCTTAAAACATAAAATATTCATATTTCTTGGTAACAGCATGCCTGTTTATGTCCAGGGCTTCCAGATTTATTGTTACCATGCCCTGGACTGCTGAACTGTTTGTGCTTGGGGTTCTACTTCATTCTTCCTTTATCATGGTTTTTCATGGAAGAAAGTTGATTTCTTCAGTTGACTTCCTACGGGTCATCATGGATTTACGAAATTGCAAGAGGGGACAGACATTTGGGGTGTGGTTCATATGGTATTCAAAGTGCACTTGATAGTGAGTGCAGAGTTCTTTTATCTTACTTCTGTGTCACTAAAATAAACTGTTTAAGAAAACTATTAATGAAGCTTCACTGACTTAATCTGGGCTTTAAAATTAATGTAACTCTTTTAACTCCTTACCTGTATTATATTGAATTATAAATAATTTGAGGATAATGGATGAGAAGGCAAACGGTGCCAAGAATGCTTTGCAACTTGCAGAGCAACCAAACTTTTAAAAACCAAACCAAACATTTTTAAAATTTGCTTATGCCCCAGCAGGTCACTGTAAACACAACCTAAGTGAGTTTATTATTGAAGTAAGCTTAAGAAGTGTCATTGCACTGGATAACAAAGCACAGAAAAAGTAATAAATCTGTGTGCTGTGTGCAGTTATGAGAACATATATTCCTCTTTCTGGTTCTAAATTAGCACTTTCCTACTTAATTTAACTTGAAGGCAATGTTTCCACTATATCAGATTTTTTTCAGTCTTGAAAACTCTAAATAGAAATTTTTAGAAATGCGAGAATTTCCCTGAAGCATTTACAGAGCTCTCAGAGTGATAATGCCATAAGATGAACAAGTTCAATCAAGTTTTGTACTCTCATTGTTCTGGTTGCCACACATAAAGCTAAGGATGTGAGCAGTGGTGAAAGGGAAAACTGGATTTTTAGTAACTAATTTAATTGTTTGAAGTAATTCCAGATAGAGTTTGTCATTCTCAGCATTGTGTGACTGTTATTTCAGAAAAAAAAAAATCAATGCATTTAAAAATTATGTTAAAAACAATAGCTGTCCTCTGTGTGTTTTTTGCCTTTGAAAATCTCCTCCTCACACACCCAGCCACCAGACTCCCCTCCTCCCCCCTTTTTTGTTTCTGCAAGAACACTTGCCTCATGCACTTTTTGGCTTGATCCTATTGATTTGCAGATAAAGGGTAGGAGGAACTGGGGCTTTTTTCATGAGCATGAAATTTTGCAAGATCTGTGGTGGTATTTAGCATCCAGATTCAGCCTGGGTCTGACTGCTGTCTGTCTTCCTAATTGTAGCACTTAAAAAGAGCTTTTGTCTGTGTGTTGTTGTGACATAACACAAAGAATGTGGAAAATAGGTATTTTAAAAACAGGAATTTATCTTTTTTTGTGTGGCATAATCTGTATTTATCTGCAGTTCTGATCAGCTCTTAAGTTGAAGTAAAAAGCCCCCATCCTCTTTTTATTTTATTTTTTTGTTAAAATACTTTTTCCATCAATTGAAATAGTATGCTCTTGATATTAAAAGCTTAAAAGAGAATATTTTTATCAAATATGAGATGGAAGGTATCTGTAAATTTAAAAGGCTAAAGTTTATGCCTACAGAATTAACCAAATGTAGAAATGATGCAAAGCTGAAATAGTTTTAAAACTTTCTGAACTGAAGACATTTGTTTGTCTCCTGTCTACCCTTTCTGACAGACAATGTATTCTTTCTTTTTTTGTCTCTTTTTGTAATCTTAACCCACTGTCCTGTCAGTGATGCGATTATGGGATCTTTCCAGGCTGCAGTGCCCGTTTATCAGGTTCTGTGCCGTGTTTATCTATGACACAAAGTAAATGTTTTGTAATGAATGAAGTGGGGCAGTATTAACAGCCATAACAGAAAAAAAAAAACTGGCACACCCAATTTTTATTTTTTTACTCATGTTGAACAAATATCTTCCTCTCCTTTTGTTTCTTTTCCCCATTACACAGACAAGCAACAAGTATTACAGTTTAGTCAGATGGATGCTGAATCAGGAAGAATGCCATGTTTGTCTTTAATCACTTGGAAGAGCTCTGAAGAATTTCTTGCATCTTTCAGGCAAAAAAGAATTGCTAATGGACAAAGCAAAAATGAGAAGCCTGACTTCATACAGAAGAATTTTTGAAACGAATTAATCAAAATGAAATGTACTGCTGCCTCAGCCATAACACATGACAATAAATGCAGGATAACCCAGGTTTTTTGTTCCTTACTATTTTTGCAATTAGTTCACTTTTTCTCCTGCAGAGAGGCTGCATGAAAGATCTTGTTATTTGTGTCTGTGGTAAAATATGCTGGCTCAGCCTGCCTGAAGAAACAGAAGCCTTGGCAAGAATGCTGATTACCATGACAATCTAAGCAGTCTAGAGCTTTGGGGTGTTGTGGGTTTTATCATGAAGATAAAAAATATGTCCTAGATGGTAGGATATCTGATAACATCATCATGATGCAGCAGATCCAATTGTCTTAGCAAGACCTATTTTTCATTTTGTGTTACCTGTGGAAGGAGGGGGGGAACCTTATTATCTTCAGGTAAATTTTTATAACATACTTGTGTGTTTACATCTTTATCTATTTTAGGCTATTTATGCTGTAGGTACATGAAGGGGTTTACATTTTCATGGGTTTTCCCCAATAGCATGGGGGAAAACTGCCATGTGCTTCTTCCTGCTCCCTCTCCTGAGCCCCATGTATAGTGCCAAATCTGTGCTACAGTATCTTCACAAGCAAAGAGAAAAAAAACCCCAAACCCACCTTTCCTATCCATATTAGGGTGTCATTATTTCAGCCATTACTTCTTCAAAAGGTCCACACCCTCCCTCCACCAGAATGCATATATGTATGTTAATAGAGCTAATAGCATGTTGCATGAGATCCTTGGTTTAAAACTATCTCAGACAGGAATAGGAAAACCAATCTGCTGATCTCTCTTGGAGTGTGTGTACTGAGTTATTGTCACTGGTATTTGGACACTGTAAGAAAAGAACAGACTTAGGAGTTTGAGTTAGAAAGGAAAAATTAATTGAAGTTATAAAGTTGCAAAGTCCCTGTGCAAATAAATTCATCTGTGAAGTTTTCTTGTTCAAAAATTGGCTGTTGAAGTGTTTTTCTAAAAATCTTTTGGCTCATTATGACAAAAGCAAGAGTATTTACATTATTACTTATTTCTTTCCAAGTAATTTCCTTGTTTTCACTAAAAGATTTATTGGAAACTGTATGAGGTTATCAACATATCAATCAACTTTTGTTCTGTTCCAGTAACCTATAAATCTAAGGGTTCATTGTGAAAGCTTCGTTTGTAATGAAGAGCATTTACTGGTCCCATGAAATCATTATTTAGAGCAAACAACCAAAGGTGTGTCTTTCTGCACAGTTCTAGAACATGAACCAAAAGCCACGGGCCCGAATGATGAAGAAGAGGATGAAGGAGAACAGTTTGACTTTGATAGTGGAGATGAGATACCAGAAGCAGACAGGCAAGCCCTTGTGCCACCTATTCCTGGGAATTCCGTAGAGCACCAAGAGGCTGGTGCTGCAGGTAAGTCAGCCTGGTCTGTATCTCCACGGGGCTAAATAGTCAAGACTGATCTTAGGACGCCTTTTCTTGACAGTGCAATAAAAGTACTTTAACAGGAGTTTTCTGTGGTGTTAAAGCCTGCCCCTGAGGGTAACTCAGGTTCTTCTTAATGGATTTCTTGGAGCAGATTAGAGTGAAATGGCACTGAATGATTGATGTTTGTAGATATAAACATATTTGGTTTATTTTGGAACAATTTGGTTGCAATGGAAAGCATATATGTAGCCTTTTTGTTATTATTATATATAGTAATATGGCAATATCAAAGCATAAAAATACCACCTGCTTAATAAAATGTATAAAGGAAAAGAAAGGAAGAAAGAGAAAGAAAGGGTAGGAGTAGGAAGATACATAGTCACTGCCCATGGATCTGTGATGAGACTTGATTGAAGTGATGATTGAAGGTCTCTGTCAGAGGTGGGGGAGAAGCCCACAAAATACAGTTTGGTGAGTTAATACACTCTCAGGTTCAGGTGGGAGTGCTCAAGCCCCTCCTCTGTGAGGCAAAGTTTTAGGCTGTGTTTGGATCACGTGCAGTTCTCTGATGGAGGCTGTCAGAAATGAGTCTGAGGGCACTTCAGGGGTCGTTGACAGTTTATGTGCTCTTCTAAGGCAGCTGCCTCTTCTATCAGTAAACCTACCTGTGAATGTGATCTTCCCTGGGAGGGTGTGTGTGTAAGGGAAGGCAGTTTGGCATGATAAAAGGCATCATCCTGTCTCCCCAAGATCTGCCTCTTACAGGTCGCAGAGCCCAGTTTGTAGCCTCTGGTGGTGGTCAGTTCACCCTCTCTGTCTTATGCAGACCAGAGGTTTGTCATTACACACCCAAAAACTCACTGCCTTCTCTTTGCAGGCTTGCAAACCTGGCCTCAGCAAAGCACCCAGGCACCTCTGAAAATGGTCAATTTGTTTTGAGTCATGATCCAGTCTCTCACACATGGAAATACCCTGCAAGTGTTTTGAATATTCCTTCCAGTTACAGTCATGGTAGATCTGACAGGGCAAGTGACCATCACGTGTAATTCCTGTGATGTTTCCCATTCAAGTGTGACATCCAAACCAATGGATTGGACATAGTCTGAGTGTCATGCTACAGGAAAAGTGTATATCCTTGCAGGTCTTAAGGCACATTAATGGCTTGAGATAAGCTGGTTCACGGCTAAATTTGCTGGTTGCTGACCTTGGAGATGTTGTGTGCAAAACTAAGGGGAGTTTGAGTGTATGAATTTTGTTGATAAATAGAAGTTATGCTATATATAGAAACATTTTTTATGACATATGCAAATGTTCCCAGTGCTGAGGTATAGTCTGGAAATTGCTATGTTCTTCTCAGTTTGCTAACAGCTGATTTAGATTTTTGATCCAGCTTCCTTTTGTAAACAGATTCACTGTGCTTATGGAAATTAAAGATAGATAACTCTTCAGGTGCTGTGCAGTTGTCAAACTGAACTTAAACACTACCTTTCCCTGAGCATCTGTTGCTTGTTCACCCTAATTGTGAGGTTGTGCTTACAGCTTAAAATTATTCCATGACTTGGGATGCAGTTTCCTTCAGAGGGGCCTGTGGTTCTGCTGTACCTCAGCGTGTCTCAAAAAATACTCGGAATTTTGTGTAACAGAAAACAATACATTTTCAAAGAGGAAAACTAAAGTTATTTTCTTCCTCCCTTTCTTAACAGTGCATTTTCAGGACAGCTCTTGGAGGAATGTCCTTCCAGCAAACTTTTTTTGTCCTCATCACTACCCCTAAAATATTTCTTGTGTTTGTGTTTGTAAGATTCAAATTCATCTAGAATTCAGCTTTTAACCTTTAGGATTTAAGACTGTTTTGACTCATGTGCTTATGTCAGTCAAGTTACTGTTTTTCCATAGGCATCTTTGTAACTCATCTTGTTTTGCTCTTGTTGCAATTCTCATCTGTAAAATGGGGAGGTTGGCACTACTGTGTGGGAATTTTGAGTCATAAGTTGTAAGCAACTTGTATAGTAAAGATCAGGTCAGTGTTTAGCGTACTTGCAAAGAGATTTTAGAGCAGCTTGAAGAGGTATGAAAAATAAAACTTTGCATTTTTGTTTAATCTTTCAACTAAAGGAGCTGATAATTTAGAAAATAGCGAGAAGCTGCAAACATCAGAACCTGCTGCAGAAGGCACTCCAACCAAAGTAAATCCCTACTCAGTCATAAATATTTCCCCAATCCAAGACAAGGATCCGTCCTCATCACCAGAACCAAGTCCTCAAGATGAATGTGCAAGCCCCAGCTTGTCTGGTGGATATTCTGTTCCTGTCCCTTGTGGATATGCTGTGCCATCCAACTTACCTTTGCTACTGCCAGCGTACTCCAGTCCTGTCATCATACGCAGTGTTTCTGTAGATGAAGAAGGTACTGTAGTTACACACCTTACTTTATTTGAAGGGGAATCCTTGGTTAACCTCAGGTACCTTTCCTGTATAGCACTCACCCTGGGTGAGTGTGATTAATGCTAATTCCTTTTTAATGTAATGAAATAATTTTCAGATCCAGAGTTCGGTGTTCAAGCCAAATGGTTTATTTTCATACCTTTTATTGTTTTTTTCTAGATCCTGGCAAAATTCCTCTCCCCTTTGCCTTTTCCATATGCATTTCTGTTTGTTTATTTTCCAATTCTTGTAGATTTAGAGTTGCTGTGGGATTTTTCCCTTGATGATTTGATGAATTCTCCATCTTCTAGTACAATTTTAAGACAGAAGAGGAAACTAGAAAGGGAAATAACTATGGATTATTACAGAAACAAGAGATCCATTTTGTAACCAAAGTTGAGAAAGTTGACAGCTTAATGTCAAGACAGTAGGAAAAGAAGGCTCCTCATATCCTGCCTTTTCCTTTTTGTATTTTGAGTATACTTTTCTTGAGCTAGGCAGCAGTTCTTCTATAATTCCAGCCTTTATTCCAGCCCTTGCTTTTTACCACCATTAGGAACACTGTCAAGTAAAAGCAAGTGTTTGTGTGGTCCTTATTACCTGTAGAGGAATATATGTTTGAGAGATAGAATTAAATCCATCAGACATTGTAATTTCCTCTTAACAGCTCTTCTAACAAATGGCTGTGTCTTTGAATTACTTAGTTCTCAAAAATACATGGTATGAAGGAACTTCTAAATTTTTTAACATGTGTAAGAATAAAACTTACAAAAAATGAGATTATTCTTTAGCAATGAACTGTAAAATCAGTTTCTTATGCTAAAATGTGCCATTTGAGCCAAACGGACGTTATTGCAAGCATTTTCTTTTTTTCTTTTTTTTTTCTACTTGGCAGGTACACAGTCAGCAACTGAAGAATGTCATTATAATTCTGTAAACTTGGAGGACCCTCAGAATAGGTGATTGCCAGTTTATCATGTTTTAATGATTTGTAAAACCTTAATTCCTAAGAAAGCTTGCATTTGATAAGTATTTTCCTTGTGTGATACTTCCATGTTTGTTGGTTTGTGTTTTTTCACTTTCTTAGTCCTGTAATTCTGATTGTGTACTAAAATCAGCACTGATGTGTGTGTGACTGTGCATGACATTTTTGAAGACATTGGGTTGAATTTTTATAGATTGATGGCAATGTCAGCTGCAACAGATTGCTGGAGATTTTGTCTAGCCTGCTGCTTTCAGCAGGACCACTGCCAATACTCCATCAGATCAACCATGGCCTTGCTGGCTGACCCTTCAAACCCTCCAAGGATGGAGGTGCTGCAGCTTCCCTGAGCACTCCTCCCTGCTGTACTGCCTTCCCCTTTCCCCTTTTTCCCCCTACCTCCACAAAAGTCCAAACCAAATCTTCCAGTGGGCAGTCTGTTGACCATTCCCCCTTTGTCTGGAATTAAAAAAAAACCGGCCCCAAAACCCCCAAAACATACCCAAACAAAAAAATAACTCTGATTCCATCACCTCTGTAGTTCTCTTTTGGATAGTTGTAGCTGCTCTTGGATCACCCCATAACATCCTTCTCACCAGACTAAATAATCTCCATGTCTTTTACTTCCTTCCTTGTAAACCATGTGCTTTAGTCCCTGACTTCAGTTTCTCTACATCTCTCTAGAGGTAGCTTCAATTTCTCCACAGCTCTCTAGCAGGGGAGTGTTGGGAAGCCAAAACTGGGCGTGCTGCTACAGGTTCAGCCTCACTGGCAGGAGGGCAGAGGAGGATAACAGCTTTGCCTGATTGCTCCCGATGTAACCCCAGAATGTCTTTAGTCCTATTTACCATGAAAAGGAAGTTCTCACTTCACCGTTTCTGAGAGAATTTCCTGTGTTCTGGTAGATTAACTCAAAAGAAGAGTATTTTTTAAGATTGTAAAGAAAGTGTTTTCAATTTTCTGACTAAAAGTGTCAGACTATTAACTAGAATAGATTATTCATCACCCAACTACATGCTGAAGCAATATTTTTGACTAATCAGCAGACTTGGAATGGAAGCTAGAAGACAGAAATACATTTCTTTTCTTGTTTTCATGGATGTTTAAAAATATCGTGGTGTTAACTTTTACTTCTTTAATTTTATGGCCTCTTTTTCAAGTGAAGATAACCAGACCAAGAGAGAGGATGATGCCCTGGCCAAATGGGTTGCAGATCCTGCAAATACAGCGTGGATGGAAAGTAAGTACAAGTGAGCACTGAAGTACCACTGTAGAAGGTGGTCAGTTTTAAGTTTGATCAGCAATGTATGTGTGTCTATGTGCACAAGCAGATTTTATGGGAATGTCCAAGTTCACTTTTACTTTGTGTTTTCAGGTAGGTTCCAGAACCAAGATGTACCAGTTAGAACATTCAACAGTGTAATAAAATTGCATTTTAGAATAAAGCTAACATTCACTTTCCCACCTTTTGGAGTCTGTGGAATCATGTGTTATGGAAGTCATTTGGCTCCATCGATGCATTTGCAGTGGAATAAGCTCCAGTTCAGAGTCTGATCTGTGACCAGATTTGAAATTGCTCTTCTTGTGCAGTAGTTGGCATATAAGTATTTGGAGGAGGTGGAAGGGAAAGAATTGCCACTGTCTTGGTCTGTGCTGTTGATTCTTGGCTGCTAGCTGCATTTTAAACCAGAACAGAGACTGTGTGGTTTGAGGACAGGTTATCCTGCCTGTTTGCAGCTGTTTCCACTGGGCTGGAGGTTCATCTTACATATTTTGTGAAGCAACTGAAGAATTTGCATTGTCATTCTGCCTCTTAATGTACTATGCTGATCATTACATTATTTAGTTTTGATTCTTTTTCAAAAGTCAATTTCAGCTTTTCTACAGTCATTCATTAAGGCAGTGTGGAGCCTTCAACAGCACAGAACATACTATACCTCTGTAAGAAGGAGGGAGAAATAGTGGCATTTGAAGTGGATTTTTATTTTCAGGCTACCAAAAGTCATCATAAGCAATGCAGATAAAACTCTGAAATTTCACAAATATCATACACTTCTTTGTGCATTATTGCAATATTTGAATGATTAGATTTGCAAGCAAAATGCTAGTGGAGAGTGAGCCATATCTCTGTTGTATTCATATATGCCAATATAACCAAAATTCTTTAAAATAGAATAGAATATATCAGTTGGAGCGGACCTATAGCATTTCAATTGCCTGGCCATTTCAGGGCTGACCAAAAGTTAAAGTCTTATTAACAGCTTTGTCCAAATGCCTCTTAAACACTTGGTCTCATTTACATTTTAGGAAGTTTCTCATTTGTTTTTTTTTTTTTTTTTTCTGTCTTGGTTTTAGACCCAGATGAGGTAATTTATGATGATGTGCCAAGAGAAGATTCAGACTCTGAACCAGGTTTGAGATCTTTATTATGTTGAAAGCAATGTGAAGTGGAATTATGTGCATGTATACTAAACAGATACATTGGTTAAGTACCTAAAATATATGTAAATGGAATTAACATTGTGTAAATAATTGGTAGGTCTTAAAAAGTTCAGAATTGTACTAACACTTAAAGGACTATCTCAGCAGATCTCCTATACTGCTCTTCTCAGAAGCTGAATTCTGCTTTGTTTTATAGACACTGTTCCAAATATTTGAGTATTCTGCATATTAGAGAATTACAGTGTTGGGTGTTGTAGGGCCCTGAAAAAGGCCAGGTAGTTAGGAAAAGGGTGTTTTAAATAATTAAGCAATGTATGATAATGTATCATTGTCATGGTTATAGAGAAAAGCCCTTTCCTTTAATGTCCCCTTCAATATATAAATGCTTGATAGAAGGTCCAGAGTGGCTGTTCACCATCCTGATTGTGACTCTACAGAAATGTTTTATTTCAGCTTTGAAGTGGTCCCCTCCTGATGGTTGTGACCACATTTGGAGGGGGCAGAATAGATCTCAAAGTATTTACTAGTAAGATTTTACCTTCACTGGAGATGATGGAGTTAGGGCTCAAGAAGAATATTTCATTGAGTTCTTGCTCAGGTTTGTTTTGCAGTTTTTGAGTATAGTGAATTTTCTTAAAGATCAGTTGCTACTTTAAAGCTGTAACAGTTTCCTTTCTTGTCCTTAGTAGTGTTCAGGTGTTCTACAAATTACTACTGAATTTTTTTTCATTTATTATTGGAAAGTACCGTGTTACATTCATGACTTGAATGCTTATATTCCTGGAAGTTCCCTCAGGGGACTGTGCTACTCTGAGCAGGGACATCTTTGTGCTGTTGCTGATCAGTCAGGAAACGTGTACACTAGGCCCAGGTGGCTGAATTAGGTGGGATATGGAGCAAAGCTCTACTGAGCATATTGGTCAGAATCTTTAGCCTAACCCACAAGATATCGATTAAAATTTTGATTTTCATTTCTTCCCCAAAGACATTGAAAGAATCTGAGGAAATAGGTAGTAAGGGAAGTTTCATCTTTATACATTCATGATCTTGATGTTTATATTTGTATATTTTGTCAGGAAGATGCAACTATTCCAAAAAAATTTCAGTCAGACAATCTGCATTAGCTCATGGACAAGAGAAATTCACCTAGTCATGGGGTAAATCCTGCCCCAAAGTGAACAGCACAGGAGTAGACTTGCATAAGTCTTGATTTATTTTTACTTACTGTGGTGGATCCTTTAAATTACTCATTGTGCTAGATTACCACTAAGATGTCTTCTTCGGTAACAATATTTTAAGGACAGTCTTGATATGCATGGGGATTTAATTTTTTTTTTTTTTAAATCTGGATCTTCCAAATTTGACTAGAATCCTCTGTGTTAAATAATTTAATTAATGTTAATATTAAATTCCAGGGTTTAGATGGATGTGTAAAACATGTCAGCTTTTCTTTTGAGTATATATTTTTTCTCTATTTAAATTAAATTTCAATCTTAAAAGCACAGCTGCTGTTTCCTGAATTTAATATGAGACAGTTGTAAATTCTGCATCATAACCTCTGACAACAGTGATTCCTGGCAGAAGTGTTGTACCATAACATGTGTCCTCACTTTTCTACTTGTGATGACAAATGATGCTGCTTGTAGAGTGCATTCCTGTTTCCTGATAAGCAATTGGCTCTAAATTTTCCATTTTATTTTGAGTAAGTTTTATGTTCTTGACATCTGTGCCAATGGAAAGACCTGTGTCTTTAACAGGAGGTACTTTGGTCAGCCTTTGCAATATAGATTTGAAAAGGTTATGTCTTGGAAAGGTTAATACTTCTAGTTTTTAAAGTAAATTATGAGCCAGGTAGCTGCCAGGTGTGGGAGACTTCGAGTGACTGGAAGTATGAGTCATAAAACACTGTTGTGTAACACCTTCCTTGCTACTTTGGTCTGATCTGTTCTGCTGGAAGTACTGACATTTTCATTTGATTCTTGTAATGTTTTAGCATTTATCATTTTAGCTGATGTCCCTAGGGACAAATGGCAAACTTACAGATGGAAGGATGATGCTTCTCAGTGCAGATGTGCATTCACAGCTACAGTGTAAATTTCCTTTGAAGTTCTAAATTCTGTGGGATTTGGACACAACAGTGTCATTTGAGTAGCACATGTTTCTAAAAGGTTCATGGTGTGTACCATAACACTGTCCTTTTTTAGTACTCTGTTTCAACACAGACAATCTACTGTGGCTGTTTGAATATTGGATTTAATTCAGAATTTTTAATGTGCATACAAAAGTCTGTACAATTCTTTATAGCATATCCTGGACAATTTTTTTGGTGTTTGAACAAACATACACTTCAGTGTAGCTTTTTAAATTTTGGTTTAACTCTTGCAGAGGAAATGATTTATGATGATGTTGAAAATGGTGATGATGGTGGAAACAGCTCACTGGAATATGGGTGGAGTTCAAGTGAGTTTGAAAGCTATGAAGAACAGAGTGATTCTGAGTGTAAAAATGGAATTCCCAGCTCCTTTTTGCGAGGCAACCACAAGAGACATGTATGTATTCTGCAGTGCTGCTCAGTCATTGAGGTTATCCTGGTTTCCAACCCTTTCTTTTCTCACCTGTATTTCTTTTTATCCTCAATTCAGTTTCAAATGCCAACAACACCTTTTTAAAGGATACATGAATCAGTGTGGAAGTGACAGTACATAACAAAATGTAACAGGGAAGAGATGAAAATGTTAAACAGAAGCTTCTTACAAAAAAGAAAAAAACTCAAATTGGATTAAAATAAAATTAAAAATGAGATTATTTTTGCTTATGGGAAGTTCCTCACCTTCTCTTCTTTTGCAGTTTCTGGATTGGTGTAAGTGGTAAATAAATGTGGAAAATAATGTGAAGAATAAACGGGGACAAGCCTGAAAAGAATTGAAGGTTTGGGATCTTTAGGTGCTCAAAAGTCAGAAAACTCTGCCACTGTTCCCTAGCTGTCTTAGATCTGCATCAGTTTACTTGTTTGAAAGTGACTGAGCTTAAAAACGTCTGAAAGTAAATGATTTTTGTAATCAAAGAGAATTCTACCTATTGGGAGAGAAGAGAGGTGTCATGATTAAAATGATCCATCTGTGACACTTCTCAAGCCTGGTACCTTTGGCTCCATCTGTTCTGCGGGAGGCAGGAAGGCACAGGTGACACTGGTGCCTGTCCTCACTGCATCTGTCCCATTGCACACGGAGACAGGTCCTGGGCTCTTGCCTTGTCGTCGCCTTGGCTCCTCTCCTGCCCTTGTGCACCCTTTCTGTGAGAGGCTCCCCAGTGTGTGCTGACTAGGGGCAGGCCCCAAGAGCCACTTGGCACCTGTGTGTTGTGAGCTGCCTCAGCACCCCGTGGCTGGAATGTGCAGGGTTGCAGAGAGTTATTTCATGGGACCCTTATTTTCATTTTGCAGGTTTCTTAACTTGAGAATAAAAGCCTTGCTGTCTGTGTTTCCCTCCAGTGTATGTTTTCTGCTCTCCCCTCACCTCCATCCTTGCTGCCCATCCTTTGGAAATCAGGGAGTGAGCAATTAACTGCAAGACTTGAGCCCACCCAAATCTGCACTTTGTAAGCTGAGTGCTCATCCTCTGTTTTTGTCTTGGTTTTGTTCTGACTAGAACGATCTTGAGCTGTTGCAGCTGTTTGTTTGGGAGTTTTTTAACAAGACTGAAAAAACTGAGCTTGATTTTTTTGTTTGTTTTAAATACCTTGGAAGAGACTAAGAAACTGCTTTGCATGTAAGTGTGTAAGCCTTAACTTGGCTGCTGGCTTATTATTTTAATTTTTTTAAATCTTCTCTTGTTATCCCTAACTTCAGCTTTGGCCGTAGAATCTATTTACATATGTGAACAAAGCAAGGTTTAAAGCCATTTTTTGGGAGCTCTTAAAAGTATACTTTGATCTGTTATGGAAAACTGTTGGCAGTGGTTGAATGTGATCATACCAGGATCAGGCACAGAGTGTCTGAGCAAGAGACTCAGGAGTGATGAGAGAAGAAGGGGTGTGCCCTTGGGTACTGCTCTGCAGATGGCTTTTTCATGCCTGTGACAAAAGGTTTTGGGGATTGCCTTGTGAGGATGGATGTGAGGAGGTGAGGAACACTAAAGCTGGTGGGTGGAAAAGTCAGAGAGGCTCCTGCACCTGGATGGGTTGTTGGGAGATGGAGAAATCAGGAAATTAGGGAAGTGTTTTGGCAGAATGAGGAAAGAAACTTTAGGACTGCTGAAAAAACCCTGCAACAAACAACCAAGAAAACAACAAAAAAAACCAAAAAAACAACCCCAGTCCTCACTGCACTGGCACTTCAACACAGGCAGACACTACTCTTCTTTATGTACATTTTCTCTGTATCCGTTCCTTGCACTACCTCTCAGTTTTCCTCAGGTCTTGTGATGGATATTGCAGTTTATTCCCAGCACATCACCTTCTGTAGCCTTTCAGAGCCTGTAAGGGGCTTGCCCTACTTATAATTTTAGTGTTAGTTGAAAAGTATAGCATGGTTGGAGGTGGGATTTTTAATTTTAAGTGCTAGTATGACTTCCCTCAAAGCCACCTTCTCATTATGATTCTTATTATTCTATTTATTCCCTAAGAAGCGAAGGTTTTTGTGCTGTTAAATATTTTTTGTCTGTGGACCAGATGCTATTTTCATTATACTGCTGTAATGCCAGAATCATCATGTTAGAGGTAATTGCATCCTGACCCAGCCTAGTGGAGCTATGGGCTGGGCCTGCTGCTTTGTTTCCAACTCAGTAGGCCTTCTCTTTCCTGAGGCTTTGATCTCTTGCCAAATAATATCAAGCTGAGGGGTTTTCCACTGGACTTCTATTATAGGGCACACCAAATATTTTCCTCTTTTTTTTTCTTTCCTGGTTGCATTTTAACCTCTTTTATCTACCTTTGTCAAAATGTTTAACAAATGGTAATTAATATTCCAGAGCATTTCTTTGTGATAGTTTCCTTGCCTTGCAAATGAATATATTCATGTACGAGATGATTACACCAAAGTTCATACAATGAGGTTATGATGCATGTGGAAACTGCAAGAATATGAATCCTGTTAGTGTCTCCTTACCTGACTCATTGCCTGTCAATTTCCATATTCTCAGGTGCCAGCAATCTACACAGGTTCTTCAGTCTCTTGAGTTTTCTTCTGATTCACTGTTTTGAAGGATAGTCTGAAATACAGACTAGGCTTTGTGTCCAGTGAATAATGCTTATGATTAAAGCTGATGTATTGTTTCCATGTAGTTTTTAAGAGATAGGCACAATACAATTAATATATTATAACAATATAGTTACCTTAGTTGAAGTGGCTTTGCCCTTGTCTTTACAGAAAAGCACCTGGCAGAGTTCAGCAGTGCCCAGGAGTGCTGATCCCTTCCTCAGACTGGAGCTTCCCTCAGTGATAGTTTTCCCTTAGTTGTCTTTGTGTCAGTAGATAGCTGGGGCAATGTGCATGATTTATGTGAGTGCTTTAGCATGAAGTTTTCACTATGGTTTTATGAAAAGATTGTGTCTTTTTATACACTGTAGCTTTCTCATGACCTAATGCGTTTAAAGGAGCATTATGAAAAAAAGATGAAAGATTTGATGTCAAACACTGTGGGAGCAGTAGAGATTCAGCAACTAAAGCAAAAACATGAGCTGAAGGTAGTGTAGTTGATTTTTGTAACTAGTTACATTTAAATAATTGCTTTTCCAACACAGACAATGTTGTCTTTTATTAATAGCTTGAGAAAGTAGACAATAATTTGTATAAAATGAATTCTGAATGAGCTGAATTTTTATTGTGCAGTCTTAAATTAAAGACTATAATATTGCTATACTCTTAAAAATACTTGGCCAAAGACCTTTTCTCATGCTTACTTTTAATGTTAACAACCTCAGAAAATGAGACTGGGCATTGTCTTTCCCTGCTGACTGGTGCCCTTATCCCAGAGTGTGAGCCAGGTATACAACCCTGGTGCCTCTCTGAGAACTTGGCTCCATAGGGCTAGCCTAGCCCTAGCTCTGCAGCCACACAGGATGAAATTGGGAATCTCCCTGCTCTCCATTCTGAATGGAGCCAGTATGAAAAGACTAGGTTTTTGCTAAAAGCTTCAGTCTCAAACCCAGAAATTGCCTGATTGCAGCAAGACAGCTTTGTTTGTGTTCTGACACTAGTGGGGATTTTTTGTTGTGGTGGCATTTTGGGAAGGAAGAAGTACAAAGCAGGATATTTTAATAAACATTTTCCAGCAAAGCAGAATTTATTTGGGTTTTTTTTTTTTTTTTGGTTGTGTTGTTTTTTGGGTTTTTTGTTGATATTGTTTTTTTTTGTTTTGTTTTTTTGGTTTTTTTTTGTTTTGTTTTGTTGTTTTGTTGTTGTTGTTGTTGTTCCATGAAATTTCATTTTGCTGTAGTAGTGTACTGTAAGATTTATGGAATTCTTAATTAAACCGGTGTATTTGTTCAATGAATGAAGTTATTAGTTGTAACTTTTTCCTTCAAAACAGTGTTTGTTTAAGAATATAGTTAATATATAACTGAGTCTAGGAGATTATCTTTAGGTCAGAAATACTTTGGAAGAGTTATTGGGACACTGAAAGATGGACAAGACCTCTGGCATTAATGACCTGTGAGTAGTAGGTATTTGTTCAGTAAGGTAACATTTGAGACTATTTAAGGTTTCTGTTTGAATGCAGAAAGGTTCTTAGGCATTTCTGTTCTTTCGGACTTGCATGCAATATTGTCATGAAGTAAGTCCTTGTCTCTGTTTTTATTTCGTTTTGAAATACCGGAGCTTGGCTCTGAGCTTTCATGGTTCTCTCTACTTATATATTCATTTGACTTTGGATGGTATTGATAGCCTAAAAGTGTGCAGGCTCAAATGTTTTCCTGTTATTCACTGAACATGTAGACTGTATTTTTTATATTACAGATGCAAAAGCTTATGAGAGCTGCTAGAGAAGGTACCAAAGATGGACTTGAGAAGACAAAAGCAGCTGTGAAGAAGGGTCGTTCCTTCATTTGGACAAAATCTTTCATTTCTCAAGGTATATGCTATTTATAGTGTTTCTCTTTGTTACATTCTCTAGTAATTTCTGAGAAAGAAGATGAATGGCCTAGCAAATTTTTGTAGTGGGAGCTGAGGGCTAGATGCAACAAATCAGATATATATATATATATATATATATATATCAGAAACATATGGTGTAATATTCAGTTCAGATGACAGCATGGTCAATGAACCTTGAGCAGTTTTTTCTATTTGGGGCAAGAACCGGAGCGACCTGAGGACCACAGAGAAGGGTCAACTTAAAAACAATAACAAAAAATCCCACCAAGCAGTGTGATCTAGGTACTGGTAGATGAGAGTATGGAAGTGATATTAAGTTACTGTCATGGTGTAACCCCAAACAGCACCCAAGCCCCTCACAGCCACTTGCTCACTCTCCTACCACCAGGACTGGGGAGAGAATTAGAAGGGTAAGAGTGAGAACTTGTGTGTTGAGATAAAGACAGTTTAATAGTGACCATAAAAGCCACACACAAAGAAGGACAAGGAACTAGTTCACTGATTCCCAAGGGCAGTGAAGATGCTTATCCATCTCCAGGAGGGCAGGGCCCCATTACACGCACTGGTTACTTGGGACACAAATGTCATCACTCTGAATGTCCCCTCCACTTACTCCTCCTTCCTCCCACTGAGGAGGATGTCATATGGTCTGGAATATCCTTTTAGTCAATTTGGGTGACTTGTCCTGGCTGTATCTCCTCCCAGCCTCCCGTGCACCTCTAGCACCCTCGCCAGCATGACAGTGTGAAAAGCAGAAAAGGTCTTGGCTCTATGTAAGCCCTGCTCAGCAATAAAAACGTCTTTATATTATCAACCCTGTGTCCAGTACAAATCCAAAATGTAGCTCCATACTAGCCACTGTGAAGAAAATTACTTCTACCCCAGCCAAAACCAGCACAGTTACTAAGTCTGTCCAGGTCTCTCCATCAAATAACTCTTGAATGTCAGGAGAGTATGCTGTTAAGACATGGTTTTCAGTGGAGAAGTAGTTGGCTATTTTAAAAAGTTCAGAAGTTCATCACTGGTAAGGAGTAATGCTTTCCGTGCTTAAGAGTGAAAGTAGGAGAAAAGACTGTACTAGTTAATCAGTTGGATGATTTTTGATAAAAGCTGAATTTGGGAATACAGGAAATGATGTAAAATCGAAAAGCCACAGAAGTACTTTTATTCTTTCTGTTGTTGAGAGCAAGTGACAGTCCTTTGTCATGAGTCTTGGCAGCAGCTGTCCACAGGTAATTTTTCAAGAGACAGATGGTAGAAAATTAAACTATTTCATTTTTCAGATAAGTCTGAGAGATAATATATCTTTCTGGTCAAGATTCTGCCCAACTAATTAAATAGTAGTAACTTCAGAGCTTATAAAACTACAATTCTGGGAAGCTAGAACCACAAGGCTGGAACAAAATATTTTTATTGAGAGAGGTAACATAAAATTGCATCCTGTCTGTGTGGACTGGGACACATCTTACATCTCTGTCATGACCTCTGACTGCTTCTCAGTTTACTTAATTCACAGATGGACTACAGAAAGGTACAAAAGATGAGGTGATCAAAAAGTGTATCCTCAACTTCTTGAACAGCTGAAAATGATCTGCAGGACAGTGTTACAATGGACCTGACATTCTTTCTTACATTTCCAAAGATTAGGTTGCAGACACAGTGTATCTGGGGATGACTGAATCCCATAACCACTTTCCAAATCAGCAGGGAGCTAGTGAAAAATTCGTTAACAAAACTCACAAGTTTCTCCCAGCCATCAGATCTGCTTCCCTTATTTCTCTTTCTCTTTCTAAGGCAGTTTCTCATACCCTTCTCTCTTTATGTCTCCTTTCCTTGTGTCTGCTTGTTTGGCTGGCTATGTACTGCCACCTATCAGTGCACTTCGGTGGTGCTTTTTCAGTAAAATTTTTACCCACAGAGCCATGCAGAATCCCTCACTCCTTTCTGATGAAAGCAAACATTCTGGTTAGTTTGGCTACTTTAGTTCAGATATAGAAGGGTGTATAGAATTTTTTTAGCTGGATTATAATATGAGGGTTTTCAGTTTCTTCCCAAGGGTCATTTATTTTGAAACTGCTGTCCCTGGAGCTGCAGTGCTTTAACCCAAGTTGTCATGGCCTGCCCTCTGGACAGTCCCATTCTCCTGGCCAAGAGGAGGCAGTAGAGGTCAAGCAAAAGATGCTTAGGCTGTCTCCAGCTGTGGGATGTTAGGATGCCTTTGCAAGGTGTTCTGTATTAGAGTGCCTATTGGTGGTAGCATTTATGTGATTTCATAGATGATACAGAAGTGCTGGGAAATTCCTTTAATTTGATAAGTGAAAATTTATAATTTCTCTGCTCGGATGATAAGGTTTTTGCTTTTTTGGTTTTGTTTTGATTTTTTTCTTCTTTCAATCCACATGTAGAAGCTGACATTTTGGTTATTTATTTATAGATCATAGATCATCTTGTCTGGAAGAAGAAGAGCTAAATTTATTTATTGATGTGGACTGTATGCATACAGAAGCAATTATGACTCCTATGCCCGAAGGATTATCACAGCAGCAGGTAGTAAACTTTGGGAAATATGGTCTTCTGCCTTTTTTTTCTCCTCTTCTGCTCTGCACCAATGGCTCTTACATGCTTTTGGTCTTCAAACATATTGGCATTTTACTCAAGTGGATATCAAATTCAGAATTGAATAAGTAGTTTTTTGAAAATTGGTGTGTGTGCATATAGTTCCATCAATCCTGAATATACCCAGAGGTGCAAAATGCTGGTTTGCATTATAAAATTATCTGTAAAAACTATATTGTTTCACTACCTGAACGCTTAAACTAAATGTGATGGTTTTGAGTGAAAAAAAGTAGAGTTAAAGCATTTTTATTGAACCTGAAAACATTGTTCCAGGTGCTCTGAGATTTCCATTTTAAATGTAGAGAATATCCTGTATGCTCTTCGAATACAAAGGTTTTTCTTGGTTAAAAATAATCATCCCCAGTAAAGTCAAGTCTACAGAAGAACTAATTTTGCTGTTCTCCACCTCAAACTGTATAGTCACTGTGAAAATCACTTCAAAAAATACTGAAATCAGCATCAGTTAAGAAATTTTGGCTGGAAAAAAATCCCTTGGGTTCATGTTACTGTATTGTTATGACAACTAATAACTATATGAGAGTTTTTATCTTCTTGTGGTGTCAAGTGATGAGTCAATTGGTCAGTACTTTAATAAAATGGGCAAAAAAACCAAACTAAGGGGCAATTAAGGAGAGGGCTATGCATTTTTGGGATTTCTTTTTTTGTTTAACCTTTTATTTGGGTGAGGTTTATTTTTCTCTTGTGTTTAACACAATGAAGTGCTAATCTTATAACAAAGCAACTACCAAACTGTGTTCCATTTCTGTAAGATTTTATTATAATGTGAGATTTCAGCATCGGTCTGAATACTCCTTCCTTCTTTCCAAATAGGAATTTGAGTTTCACTGGGGTAGTTTTGTACAAATAAATTTACCCTCTTTTGCAAAAATCCCAGAGTGCTTGTAATTTGGAACAAACTGGTAATAGTTGTGCAAGTCATCACAAATATTGCTTATCTTCCCAGGAGGAACTGTCCAAGTGGACAGGAATGGAGTTAGGGAAGCCAAAGCTCAGTTGCAGCTAGTGAGGTGTGAAGGGCAACAGTGAAGAGTTTCTGATGTGTACATTGGCAACAAAAGAGAAAACATGATATGCTGCTTGGTGGGGCACAGACCTAGTGATAACGGGTCCAAACTGTGCCACCTTTGCCTCAGGTTTTACTGGTGAGGCTTGTCCTCAGGACTCAGCCCATTAGCCCAGAACAGGTCTGCTGGGGTGAAGCCTGGTCCGCAGCTGGGGCAGCTGAGGCCATTTAGACATTCAGGTGTCTGTGGGACCAGATGGGATGTATATCAGGATGTGTAAGGCCTTTCTCAGTCATCTAAAGATCACACTGATCAGAAGACTGGGAAAAAGTGTGACACTCTTGTCTCCACAAGAAGGAGAAGTGAGTCTGGCCCTCACCTCAATCCCAACAAAAGTGATGGAGCACATGCTTTTGGGAGCTGTGTCTGCGTTCAGTAGGACAGGAGGGAAAAATCAGCATAGATGGACCTGAGTCCATTTGTGCATGACCAGCTTGAGCCCCTTTGAGGTGACTGAGGGGAGAGGTGATGGTGGTGACTTTTTGGGCAGAGGAGAACAACGTGGGTCACTTACCTCTGCCTTAAGGGCAGGATTTTCAGCTGTCTCCTGGAGTATTCCTGCACTCCTCTAGGTGAGATACAGTCTGTGTGGGTGGACTAAAAGGTGGGTGGAAAACAGGTGAGGACACCACACTCAGTGAGTCTGTGGTCCAAAGTGCATCAGGTGGTCAGTGTTAGTGCTGTCCCTCAGAGGCAGGCATGGGCCTCTGGACTTTAAAGCCTGTATGAGTAATCTGGATGCCAGCTGCAGTGCACGTCTGGAGGTGATGCCAAACTGGAGGGATGCAGCAACTGTGTGGGGGAGCAGGGCTCTGGTGGGCTGGGGTGCACAGAAACACCAGAGCAGTCCAGGGAGGGCCAGCATAACCTGGCTGTGGGAAGGGGTCACAGCCCTGGATGCCCCAGGCCAGGACCCCCTTCAGCCCAGCTGCCCTGTCACAGCAGAGCTGCTCTGTGGACATGCTGGATTCAAACAGCAGGTGGCATGGTGGCTTCTCTTTAAATCCTGGTGCCCGCAAGTACTGGGGCTCGGGCTCAGGCTCATATCTATTGCAATAACCTGAAGCCACTATTAAGTGTTCTTTTTGTGTATTATAGAACCTAAAATTTTTATTTCTACAGATGTTTATTCTATTCAGAAGAATGAACTGTGACTAAAAGTAAGATTACCAGAGCCGCTGATCCACTGTACCGAATAAGACACTGCTAAATCCATTCTAAACACAGATTAGACACAGCTAATTTTACTGTATATATCTTAAGCAAAGCCTCAAATACTTTTGAGGTCCTCCTTTGACATGCCAGTACCTGAAAGAAAATTCTCATATAACCTGCATTTAATAATTCAAAATACAAGTGTGGAGAATTTAAAGGCAGTGATGGTGAAGAGGCTGTGCGGTTCTGGAGCAGAAAGAAGCAAGCATGAGATTTGTGTTTCATGGTTGTTTAGGCTAGCTTAAAATAGCAAAATGAGCAGCTTTTCCTTCTCTTCTAGTTATGGAAAGTGGTTTGATCCTACCCTGTGCTGTCTTCTCCCTCATAGTCCCCCTTTTGAAAACTGGGGTGAGCTAGATTAGGAAATGGATTTGGGTGAAAACAAATCCTTATAATCGACAAGAAATCTAATTGATGGCAAGAAACTTAAATTCTAAACTAGACTGGTTCTCCAGTCCTTCCTGTCCTGCTGCCTGCATGTACATACAAAGTGCATTTTGGCTGAATCACAGAAGCAGAAGTTGGAGAAGGAGGTGTAATAAATAGTCTGTAGTTTAACATGAAATATGGTAGCTTTTCCTGAAGCTCTTACAACTTTGTAAGTGTATATAAATATAGCTAATACGGCGGTTTTCACTTATGCATGGTAATGCCCAAAAGAGAATGCTGACTTGGATACTTTCTCAATGATACAGTTTATATGGCCTTAACTTGAAAAGGCAATTAGTATTTGCGTGTTTGCCCTTCATGTTGCTCCTAATAAATTTATAAAACCTATTAAAAATGAAGTTTAGGACTGATTTTTGAAAGCTTGTTACCTATTTTGTTGTAGCAAATCACTGAAGCAATCAACATCATCTTACACCTATTATTGTTTCCATTAATGCCTACATATATACATTTAAGGTGCATAGGGTTATAGAATATCCTGATTTGGAAAATCACTAGGATCATTGAAGTCCAACTCCTGGCCCTGCACAAGACAGCCCTAAAAATTGCACCAGATGCCTGAGAGCATTGTTAAAGGCTGAAGTCAAAACACAAGTTTCAAAAGTAAAGCTTGGAATTACAACAGTGAGAAAACAATTACAGATATTGATACAATAATTGTGTTCTTTAAGTAGTTTTAGAGTAGTAGTAAATTTAATTACTTTTGAAGAGGTACAGTATTATTTTATTGCAGTTCCAGTATTGAAATTGCTTTGTATTTCTTTTGTTTATTAATGTGAGAATTTTATCATCATAATTTCCAGCTATAATGAATGTGTTACCTGATTAGAGCTTTGGACAAAACTTTGTTGTTTTAACAGGTTGTGAGAAGGTATATTTTGGGCTCTGTAGTTGATAGTGAGAAGAATTACGTGGATGCTCTCAAAAGAATCCTGGAGGTACCTTAATATCTTTTGCATTTTTAAATTCTAATTGTTTGAAAAAGAATCATTAAAGATCATTAAGGAATCTGCCATATGACTAATACAGATTTTGCTACAGATGCTTCATGCCAAATGTTCAGTGATTTTGTGTGTTTGTACTGTTGCATAAGTTTGTTTTTCTGCTTGTAGAAGCCCATTTTTTTGTTTGTTTAAATCAATTTGTTTTCTTTTTTCCCACAGCAATATGAAAAGCCCCTTTCAGATATGGAACCAAAATTACTGAGTGAAAGAAAACTTAAAATGGTCTTTTATCGAATTAAGGAGATTCTTCAGTGCCATTCAATGTTTCAGATTGCTCTGGCGAGTCGTGTATCTGAGTGGGACTCTGTTGAAATGATTGGTGATGTCTTTGTTGCTTCAGTAAGCAAATGTGTCAGAACAGATAATCTGCTTTTATTTTAGTCTTGTTTTTCCATCTCTCTATCTTTCTAACTTAGCCCTTTATTCCCATGTTCTCCAATGCCTGTGACAACTGTCAGAGCATGCATGTACTATCCGGATAAGGAAACTGACACCAACACATGTCTTCAGCTCGGTTGGCAGATATGAAAGGATTGTGAGAAAAGTTTTCAGGCTTTGATTAATCTTTCAGACATTTAAGTAAACACTTTGTTTTTATGGGAAATTAAAGATTCACAAACCCACTGAAAAGAAGGTGAGACTGAGGCTCAGCATCTTGTAAAAAATAGGTAGTCATACCTAGTATAGTGCAAGTAGAAAGAAACTACAGTGGGTAATGTCCTGAATTCCTGAGATGGCACACTGATAAAGAGTATTTGTAAAACTGTATCCCATCATTAATGGAAGTCCATTCAGTAAAGGGCAGAATTAGCTACTTCTTTAAATTAGAGAAAAGAAGAAGTGGCCTTGGTTGATAGAAAGACGTTACCATGAAAGTGTGGTTCGAAGAGGCTGACTGCCTTCTGGCTTGAATGCCTTGTTTTATTGTCACCAGGTCCTGGAAATTCATGCCTGCTGTAAGAGAGCTGGGATCTGATCACAGTTCACCCAAAATGAAATAGTTACTAAAGATTTATTGTTTAAAGCAAACCTGCCTCATTGTGACTGAAGCAAGTTAGGTAGTCTTAATGAGACCAGCTCTGCAAAAGAGAGGGAATGAAGGCAATGGGTGGTGATCTTAGCATTCCTATGACTGTTTGCAGGCCACACAATCTGTCTGCTTTATTGATAAGTCCTTAATAGCTTAAGTCAGGATGTGAAGGCCCTGTGACTTTGCTGATTCACTTAATCTGGAAGACAGGTAGTGAGATAATCAGGGGATCTCAGCTGTCACTTTGAATCTCAAAGAATGCCCTTTGATAGCCCATAGTCCTCAGGTTCTGTCCCAGTGTTCCAGCCAAGATGAAGCAATTTCTGTAAATACATTTCTTGTAATTCACAGCTGTTACATCATTCTGTTTCCAACCTGTCTTCTGCAGAGAGATTATTTCAGGTATTATCAGTATCTCTGTATATCCAGCACTAGGCCAAGAAAAGCCCTTAGTTCTGAGTAACTCCCTAACAGACAGAAGTCTATATAGCTGTGCTAGCAGAGGTCTTTTGTATTTGTAGTTAGGATTTGCCCTTTTTTCTTTACAGTTTTCTAAATCTATGGTATTGGATGCATACAGCGAATATGTAAACAACTTCAGCACAGCAGTTGGGATTCTCAAGAAATCTTGTGCCACTAAACCTGCCTTTTTAGACTTCTTAAAGGTTAGTTCATTCAATCTTTATATAGTTGTGCATATGTGATAAATGAGAAAGTCTGAGTTGTAATTTGGGAGGAAATTTGACTGCTGATACTCTATATTGTCTCGCTGTTTTCATGGACTTAAGGTCTGTTTTATGGCTTTGGCACAAAAAGATTCCAAAGGTTGCCCTTTCAGTATTGTATTTTTGGCATAGTAATGTGTTGTTAGATCTGGGATGTATTTTGAAGTGGACAGTAGTTTTATTGTTCTTCATATCAGTTTACTGGTGTTTGCATTACTTTATTTGGCTAAACATTAGGATTCTTCCTTATCAGATGAGCTTCATTGTATGAAGCCACTTTTTACTTTGAAATTGATTTTAATTATTTTTTAATTCTAAATTTTTTTATTGTCTTGTGAGAAGTAGTGCAACTGAATTTCCATTCCACAACAAATTTCCCTGGGTTTTGAAGGTTGTGTTTCTGGCGTGGGGTTGAAATTGGTGATTTTTTTGCAGAATGCATACTGCCCTGTTGCATATGATGCTTGTCATGATGTGTATGGAGAGCCTGGCACACACAGTAGAAGTTCTGCGAATGCCTAGGGTTGACAATACAGAGGGTACACAGAATCCACTGCAAGGCTTTTTTGGCTGTCTGTGACATGGTGAGAGTCTGGAAGCTCAGCTTGTCTCATTGCCCAGTCATCCTGGATTGAGTTGTGCCTCTTAGAGCTGGTCACCCTCACCCTGTCAGATCTGTTACAGTGGTCCACAAAACAGTAAAACTGTGTCCCTAGTGCAGCTCTTCTAGAGAAGAGTGGCAGGGATTTCTCTTCAGATCTTAAATTACCTAACAACTCTTTGGAGTGTGGACAGCTCTGTGCAGGACGATACTCTGCAAGCCTTAAGCACCATGAAGATCAGACTCTCTAGGGAGCATGTAGTCACATGTTAAATATGTTCTACTGTTAAAAGCTTGTTTTTCTAATAGAGACATAATCCACACCTCTCATCACTGCTTGTCAGGGCCACACTGGTTCTGCTTGCAGAAACACAGCCAAACTCTTGACAGATGACACTTCTTTACCTTTCCTTCCCCCCCCCCCCCAAAAAAAAATGAGGATCAAAATCTTCACTACTGCTGTTCGGAAAAACATAGATGTTTGTATAGATAACTATGGAAAGAAATTATTGTGAAGCTGATAGTTGTAGCAATAAATGGCAATTTAAGCACAACACTAGTTTAGTGGTGTTTAATATTGTTTAGATTTGCTTTGTTTGCACTATTGAGAATTACCTTTAACCTTCCTATTTCTGACCATTTCTGGCTTTTTGCAGAAAGAAATTTGCCATTTTGTGTTTTTTTCTGCCATTCCTGGTAACTAAAGTAATGGATTCAAACATTTTTCTTTCTAAATATAAATCAGCATTTTTTCCTTCGTTTCTTTTAATAAAGAAGATCAAAATCTCTGTTTGCATAGCATTGAGATTATGATGTTTCCTCTTAAAAACTCATAGATTGGTTTTTAGATTTATAGATGCTGCACTGTTGGTGTAGCTTTAGCCCAGCTGTATTTATTTAAGGAGGATGTTTCAGTTCAGTGGCAGGCCATTCTTTTAATAGCGATGGGTTTTTCTAAAAGTTTGAATATTTTAAAATTAATTCTTGATAGTAAATTGAATCTTTACATTCTTCCTATTATAATTAATGTAAGCAGTATAGATGAATTTTTAGGAAATGTTTTCATTTCGTTCTGTAACTGGTGGAAATGTGCTCGTGGTAGTAAATGTGGCTTTCTTGCATTGCAGCAATGTCAGGAGTCAAGCCCTGATCGCATTACACTGTATGGTTTAATGATGAAACCTATCCAACGTTTTCCACAGTTCATTCTACTATTGCAGGTAAATAATGTTTACCAAAGGGAGGCTCCTCTTGGATTCTTGCATAGTTTACCCTTGGGATTACATGGTAGCTAATCTTCTGCTAAAGGATCATGCTGCAATGGAAGTGACCACTAGATCATGGGGAAATAAATAGAAAATTTCAGTACATTAAACACGCTCATCTCATAGTCTGATTGCAGGGACAGGCAGTAAAGGCACTTCAGGAAAGATTTAGTAAACTAGATTTACTATAGATTACTTGCTAAGTAAAATATAGCTCCTGAATTGTTTTCTAGTTAAAGGTGCAGTTCAAATATGCTACTTGTTTATATCTGTTCGTTAGCTAGTAACACTTCAAAACATGACTAGAAACTTAGCATTATTTTCCATTGAAGAAAAAAACCAAGAGGATTAACATGCCTTGGATAGTTTAGAATATATGTGAGATGCAGAACAACAGTACACTCTCTGACTACTTGGCTCACAGGACCTGCTAGAGTATGGTGCAGCTTCCTTCTGACCTGCAGCATCTTGTTTCTCTGCCCATGGAAACTGTGGATTTGACAGGGAGTCCCTGGGTCTCATCTCAACAGGCAGTCAAGCTGCAGGAAGAGCACAATTCCCCAGTATAGACCTACTCCAGACAAATTTACTGTTTGTACCTCCTTCCAGAGCACAGCAGATGCAGGGCAGTAAGCACGGTGTGTTAGCTGTGCTCGCAGGTGCCACAGAAGAGGACAGGCTTGGGCTGCACGCCTGGCAGTTACTGTGGGTAATGGAGCAGTCGTGGGGGCAGCATGGGGGTCACAAGCCGTGGTGAGAGTTTTTGAAGTAGCAGGAACGATGAAGTTTATTGTGGCAGGAAGAGTGAATATATAGGGATTTTTTAAAGTGCTCTGGGAATGGAAATAAAGTATAATTCAAACTGTTCCTACTGGATGCCTACAAAAGAGAAAAGAACAGTGTGGAGGCAGGCGCTGTTGTGACCTTAATGAAGTAATATCTCCTACTTTAGGAGGAGCATGCTGTCCATGTTCTAATGAGGAATAATAACAGTAATAAAGATAATACAGTATTATTATGGTAGTAAATATCTGAAAAGTTTCATTTTAAATATTTTATAGACATGTACATATTACAGTATAATACTGATTGCCAGATTGTTTAATATTATGTCCCTTCTCTGTAATTTTGTTCTTTAAATAAGAATACATGTGATCCCATTGAGTATATTTTTGAAGAATTACTAAGATAATTTGCAAAGTTAAGCAATGTGCTGTCTGAATATTCATTGGGTGTTTATTGGTCTTATTCTTTAGTAGTACTCAAGTAAAGAATGTAATTGTAACTGTAAATCCTGTAATCTTTGGAAACTGACTTTGGAAATAAATCTGATTTTTTGTTTGTTGTTTGTTTGTTTTATAATTACCCCTCAGGATATGTTGAAGAACACTAATAAGGGACATCCTGACAGGTTACCTCTACAGATGGCTCTTACAGAGCTCGAGACACTGGCAGAGAAGTTAAATGAAAGGAAAAGGGATGCAGATCAGCGCTGTGAAATAAAACAAATAGCAAAAGCAATGAATGAACGCTACCTGAACAAGGTAAGGAAAGTATAATGGAAATGGAAGTCACTTTCTGGGCCTTGAGCAATCTCTATAGCAGAGACCAAAGAGACAGCTATGTTATTTTTATCTGTAGAGCTCAACAACATGGGGTCATTCTAGTGGTAAATGTGAGATGTGACCTAACTCTGGGACTAAACAGGCTCACCACTGTGTGCTGAAGTGGGCAACACATTGAACTAGCCTCAGCAGTGTTGGTGTTCTGTGGCAGTGTAGGAAATAATAACATATAGTAAAATCTCATGCTCATTTTCTTAATGGAAAAATTCAATTTTTAATTTGTCCTAGAAATGAGGAATTATTCCTGTGTAAAGAAAGGGACCACGTCCTTATACAGTAGTGCTTCCAACGATGAAGCATTTCAGGATGTGCTATTGAATGGATCCAACATCTTCCTTATTTTAAGGAAAATCTCGGTCTATTTCATTCATATATTTGCATCGTACAATAGAAATGTCTGAAAAGAACTCTAGAAGACTTTCAGTGAGAAGGAAGGAAAAATCTTTTTTGAGTTTGTTAGTAGTTATCTATACTGTGGATATATGTATGCTTGTTTTATTTGTATCATGAATGATTCCTTCTTTCCCATGAAGTGGGGCATAAATGCTCCAATTACTACTTTTGTGAAGTTACAGGTTATTTTCCTGTGGACTTCTTCTGAGATAAAGTAGTGGGGATGTGCTGAAGGAATGGGGTTGGTTTTGGTGATACATAAGCACATCTTTTAGGAAAGCAGTAGTCTACCAGAAAATGCTTATTTTAAGCTATTTACCAGGAATGAAATACTGAATTTATTGTCGTACTGGAGCAGTATTTCCATTCTAAGTGCATTAGAAGATGGATTCAGACATTTTACTTTATTTTCTAGTTGTCATAATCTTACTTCTTGAAGCAGCTATTAATCATCTGGAAATAGTTCCAAGACACAGAATATGCTTTTGAAGAGGTGGCCCAGGTTACCTTTTGTCAGTTGATATTGACTGTAAGATTTCGTGTGTTATGCAATGGAGGAGTCATTGATAAATACTTGGGTAGTCACTCCAAATCTCATAGGGTCCCACAGGCCTTGTGTCATAATATCACAGAATCAGCTGAGTTGGAAGGGACCCACATGGATCATAGAGTCCAACTCCTGTCTCTGCACAAGACCACCTCCAAGAGTCACACCAAGTGCCTGACAATATTGTTCAAATGCTTCTTGAACTATGTCATGCTTTGACCACTGCCCTGGGAAGCCTGTTCCATGGCCCGACCACCCTCTGGGTGAAGAATGCTCTCCTCACAAGGAAGCTTGTAGACTGCAATGAGGTCTTCTCCCAGTCTGCTCCAGGCTGAACAGACCAAGTGACCTCAGTCACTCCTCATACAGCTTCACCTCAAGGCCTTCACCATCCCTGAGGCTCTCCTTTGGACGCTCTCTAATAGCTTAATATCTTTCTTACATTGTGGCACCCAAAACTGCACACAATATTCAGATGAGGCCAGTGCAGAGCAGGACAATCCCCTCCCTTGCCTGGGTGGCAATGCTGGGCCTGATGCCCCTCAGGACAGGGTTGGCCCTCCTGGGCCTTTATATTTGCATATACAGTTTTGGAACAATGCCAGCCAGGGTGAAATAGGTGGTGGAGGAGGTGGTTGATCAGAAAATGAGTGTGCTATGGACCATTTTGTTCTGCTGGACACTATTGAGGAGTGTTGGACATTTAAGAGATAAGTTCACACTTGCACATGGTGGCTGATCCTCAGCCCTTGAAGGCAAATGTCAGGAGCAATTTGCATGCCGAGAATCTCTTGAACATGTCATCTCCACAGTTTGTGACACCCTGCCAGCTGCACTCCTCAGATGTGTGAGCCCACGGGGACATTGCAGGCTGAGCACACTCCCTCCTCACACTCTGGCCTCCCACTCGGGGCAGCTGGAATCATGTGCAGGTCTTCAGTGACTATGAAAGAAGGGACTAAGGAAGGAAATCACAGAAATTGTGGAAGGAATAATTTTTTTCACCAAGAAACCTTTATCAGTGTGGAAGATTCCCAAAGCAACCATGGTCTTCATTGAGATGCAAAGCCCTTTAAGTCCACATGGATGACAGCAGAAGTTACTGTTTCTCTAAATCAAAAGCAGATTAATAAAGAGAGCTAATTACTTTGGCAAATTCACCTACAATCACTTGTGGTGGATGGCAAGTGATAACCCATTGTTTTTGTTTTTTATGTGCCACATGTTGGATGTACAGTGTATAATATACAATGCTGATTGTTTTCAAAATCCAGCTACTCAGCAGCGGAAACAGATACCTCATACGGACTGATGACATGGTTGAGACAGTTTATAATGACAAAGGAGAAATTATCAAAACCAAAGAACGGCGACTTTTCATGTTAAATGATGTGCTGATGTGTGCAACAGTAAATATTCGGTAAGATTTAATTTATATTTTTTAGATTATCATTTGAACTTCAGGTGCAGAAAAATGGCACTTTTTGAATTGCTTTTGTGTTGTTGTGTTTGCTATGTCTAATGCTTTCTAGAAGTAGTCATAATAAATAGATAACTAGCTTTGTTACAGTCCTCCAGATTGCTGACTGATATTTGGAAGTTCTAGAGTAAATTTTAAGAAAAATTGTATCAGTTGGAGATTACAGATAGAAATGTAGTGTCTGTAGTGTCTAGTTACTGCTGTGTATTAGTGCTTAGTGGAACACAGGCTTGCCAGGGTAAGATTTTTTCTCTTCTTCCTTAAATTCAGACTGTAACACAGATTTGTAACTTGACACAATTTCTATATTAAATCCTACCCTCTGCAAAGCAAACAAACAACCACAAACAAAGCCCATAAAGTTAATGAAGGTTGCCAGAATAAACCTGGAACTCACTAACAAATTTCCAGATGGGGAAAGGTTGTTATGTCTGAGACCAAACATCGAAGGATTAAAGGTGAAATGCTTTGAAAAAAGCATTTTTTCGTAGTTTTTCCTGTGCTTTTGTTGGCTGTAATTATTACTGTTACTAAGTAACAGCCAAGGTTGTGGTCGCATTCATATGTTGCTTGTATCATGAATTGTTTTATGTGATGCTACATTCTAACAAAGAAAATGTGGATCTTTAAAATCTTCCAAGAATAGCTTTTCTTAAGCATAATACGAGTTGGTATCTTAATTCATTTCTGAAGTATGAATCCTGTACATAAATTTCTAAATGTGTGATTGCTTGGTCTCATATTAGTGAGTGAGAAGTGCCATGTAATTAAGTACACTTCAGAAAATGAACAAGCTCATGTCAGTTATCCTGTGATCATTGCCTTTAAAAATTCCTTACTTTCTTAGTAACGCTTGGATATTGTTTTTAACTATTCATAGTTTGTCTTCTTTCATACCAGCAAAGTCTTGGATTTTCTGTATTTGTACTTGAAGCAGCAAAGTGCAGTCTGTTTTTGTTTTCCATGTTCAAAGTTCATGATCATGCCAAGTCTCTGAACCTCTGAGGGTCATGTCGTCTGTAAAAGTATGTATTGTTTGCAAGCCATAGAAAATTCCTCTCTAACTAGTGGACCCTGTGCACCTGGGGACGTTTGAGTGTTGCTGGTTTACAAAAGACAGGTATTTTTATAGATGACATGACCCTCAGGTCTTTCTTTGCACACAGTCTAGATGACCAGCAGGAGCTGGTGGCCTAACTCTGAAGTAACAGCAGTTGGATGGGGTGGATGCTATCCCTAGTGACTAGACAACTGTGTCTTGCCTAGTTTCCTTTTTTGTTTTTTTCTGAGCTAGGTCAAAAATTTATAAATATTTACTTAGGTTGTGGCAGTTGTGTTCTTTGTTCATAGTTACTTCCTTATTGAAACAAAAGTCTGTGTTGCAGATAGGTGGCTGACTAGCTGAACTCAGCATTTAGTTATTGATCTCAATAAATGCATTTTGCTGATTTCTCTCATGCATTTGATTTCTGGATTTCAGTCATTCTTTCTGTGAAGTAAACCTTTTTTGTTTTCTTTAACATCTCTTTTGTCCTTTATAATAAATATTTGTTATATGTCCTTGAATGGGAATAAGGGAATGAAGGAAACAAAGTAAAATTAGGATCAATGTAATTTCTATTCCTAATGAGCTTCCTCAGTGTGCTCTTTCCCTCTGAAATGGCTATTGTGATGCACAGTTCTTAAGCAGCAGCTCAGGCAGGATTACTCTTGGAAGTTGCAGCAGTTTCAGAGGTCTGCTGTACAGAACAGTCTGGGCTGTGGGGCTTGGCAGAAATGTTGGTTTATCAGCCCTTCAGAGGTTATGTTGTGCCTTGTGTTGCCAGCAGTCATTCAAAGTCATTCACTCCCATAATCCGTACTTCCCTAAACGTAGCAGTTAGGGCCCAAAAAGAAGTGTTTCAAAAAAATAAGGAAAATCTGGAGCCAAAGTATAATCCCAAATAGTTGTATTAGGATTTCAGAATGCACATTCATCTTAAAAGATGGTAATTTATGTTTTGCTGTAGAAATAAGTACTATTGTTGGCAGTCCTGTGGTGTTTGTACACAAGATTAGCTGCACCTGCATGGCTGCTCTTTGCATGCCAGGAAAGGTCAGTCACAAAAGTCAGCCTGATGCATGTGTTTCTTTCAAGTTGTGCACTGTACTCAAGCTGATAAACAGCAGATTTTAGAAGCTAAAATAATAAATACTATGCCATGAAACACAGTTGCTTGTCACAGCAATAATTTGTGCATATTCCAGCTCTTCCTATGAAAGCAGTGGCACCGTGACAACTGGCCAGAGGTATTTGCTGAAGTGGAGCGTACCGCTGGGACAAGTGGATGTCATAGAGTATGGCAGCAGTGAGGGCCAAGGAGACAACTGCAGGTTCCCACCCCAGCTCTCTGCTGAAAATGTCGTCATTAACTCCAAGCCAAGTAAGTGATAGGAGTTACTGACTTCTACAGACTGCTTTGTTAAAATCCATTTTTGAAATTCAATGGGCTACTGAAAACAAAGGAAAGCATTCTGTCCATGGAGAGTTCTGTAACACGAAGAGTAGTAGAGCCTCTTTCTCTGGAAACTGAGAATGCATAAAGTGACAGCTAGGCTCCTGCCTTGCAACATGAATTACTTGTATTTGTCGTAGTTTAGAATTTTATGCATGATTGAATAAGGAGTTCTAAAGCATGAGACGTGCAAAAATGTGGGTTTGGTGCAGTGAGCCAAGTGGTCTCGTGGTCACTGGTTCTGTACCCTGTAGTTAGAGCAAAGAAGTTTGTCTCAATAAGGGTGACCAAGCCACCTTGTTGTTGTGATTAAGAGTCTGGGCACAAGTGGTTATTTGTTTGGGTAGAATTTACTCACTTCTCTCAAGCCCATGGTATCTTGCCCTTCAACCTAGTGCTTCAGAAAAAAATCTTAATGTTTTTGAAGCTATGTGTTAATAGGTAATTTCCTCCTAGCCTCTCTCCAAAAATGACCTCAAGGTCTGAAGTTTGCAAATTCTTCTGTGGTAATTAATCCCCCCTACAAGACTGCCAACTACCTTCAAGAAAAATATGAATTTTAAGGCTTTACTTGTTAGCTAGACTTTCATACATAAGGAGTTATTTTTATATTCTGGGGGTTTTTGCCTAAATATTGTAATATTAAATGCATTTAATATCTCTAGATTGTAATTTGACTCCTATTCATGGATTATAATCCACATGTGCTGTGATTCAGTGCTAGCTCTAGGCATTATTTCACACTACATTTATTTAATATTGCAGCCTTGGCTTCATGAATTTTCCCACAATTGTGCTCTAAGGAGGCATAAATGCTACAGCATCAGAGTGTAGCATTTACTACCCCCTGTATTCTCCAGGATGGTTCTCGTCAGGTCTTCTTGCTCCTCCTGTTGTAAATAGCTGCAGAGAATTTTATGGGCACTTACATCTTTATTTCAAGGATGAATTAATTCTTCTAACTACTTTTAAGCAATAATGGACTGCTTAGAGAATGAGATTAAAGCCCTAATTTTATAATTTACCAGTTGCTGTAACCCTGAGAGGACTATATAAAGAAGTGTATTTCGTAGAATTGGGGCTCCCTTTTGTAGGTGAGTGTGAGAGGAACAGATTGTTGAATATTCCTAGTATGATTTTGTGCAGCAGTTTCACAGCTGCCAAGACCAAATCCTTGCATGTCAGCATGATATGGGGAAGAAAAGCTTGAGGGGAGAAACAAAAACTCCTGACTGAACAGTCACGTAGAACTTAGTTGAACCTGTTGGCTTTTGAAGTTTTTCAGCTGCATCATGTTTGGTGACAATATTACACAAAAAAGGAATGACTTTGTTCATAATTTGTAAATCAACCTTCAGGTTAAATCTAGGTAAACCTTCATGTACTCTAGGTAAAATGTGAACTGAACTATTTTTTCTCTTGATAAGCTCTGTTAAATTAATTCGGTCTTCTAATAAAAAGGATCGAAAGATAAGAAATAAAAAGAATTTGAAGGATACTGGGTATACTGAAAAAATCCTCCTGGTTTAATAAAATTTTTCTGCCAAATGATCCAGCTAAATTGAATATAAACAATCATGAAAGAGTAACATCATAGTCTTGTTTTTGCACATACTACTGTGTTTGCACTAGATATTACTCTGAATGCAGTGTTGTTTGAACTGGCCTTTATAGACAAGTTTCAACACACACTTAATTGTGTTAGTTATTCTGTAGAGTTGTCTCCTTAGTTCCAGTTTAAGTTGGCTGCTAAAGATTACAGAAGCTTAGAAAGTACAGCCTTCCTGTAGAGGGGCAAACTGGTAAGACTGTGTGCTGCTTCAGTGTTGCTTCTTATTTGCACCACCAAGTTGCTGCATTTTATAGTTGATGGTGACATGATCTTTAATATATGGTAGTATGACATCGTTGGTGAGACTACTGGGTGTTTACTAAAAGTTGCAAAAAGCTTACAGAGAAATACTATCAACTCTGCTTGAAACTTCATATCTTTGCAGTCATCATAAAATTATGCCTCCCTCTGTTTTCAAAATACAGGATGAAATCCCAGTGGCTTCATATTATATATGGTTTTAATAAGATCTAGTGATCAAGAACAGTTTGGGATGCTGCAGGCAAAATCCTGAGACAGAAAACCATTTCTCAGACTGAATTTCAGCTTACATAGCCAGTTTGTGGGCACTGAAAAGACACAGAATAATGGTGATTCTGTGCAAAATCGTTTAGTAGTAGAAGGATTACCCCTTGTATTTCTGGAAGACTGAGAAAAGTTGGTTTGTATCTGCCATATGCCAGGTTGAGTACTTGACTCCTGTAAGGTTGGTATTCTGACATTGCTGCTGTGATTAGCGAGGATTCTTGGGTGGATTCAGGTTGTGTACTTGTGAGGATTACTGGTGGTTGGTTATATTTCCCTTATCATGGCACTTTTTTCTCCACCAAAACCTTTTATGTCAGGAGGTAGCTGTCACAATTGTATCTTGCTGTTTATTATCGACTAAATACAATTGGTGCTTCCAGTTTTCTATGATGAGGCAAGAAAAAAGCAGATAGTTTAAAGATGCAAACTTTACATTGGGTGCTGAATTAATAGCTGAATTTGAATTAATCTTCTACAGCCTGTAATATGCAACTGAAAGATGGAAAGGTTTTATGAGTATGTATAAATCAAAGGCATGCTTTAGTACTGTTCTGAGATGAAAAGCGAGGGCTGTGTGAACTTGATTTTCACTTGGCAAAATCCTCAGTGGGCAGTTTTCTACCCCATTGAGCTTTATACAGCAGTCCTTTGTCTCTGAGTTCTACAGAACACCTTTAGGGGCTATTTTTTTGTTTTAAGCCATTAGTATTTTGGTAGGAAAAACTGTGTGGCCTGAGGGTGTGGGGCAAAGCAGAAAATTTTTACTCGAGTGTATTCTGCCATACTGCCCCTCCTTGATGTGCTATTGCCTTGTTCCTGTTTTTCTCCCCTAGCACCAACAGTAGACTAAATTCTCTTAGTTACAAACATGAAGAGGGATTGAAGTCTCAGCTATTTGGCAGGGTCCTTTATTTGTACAATTCTAATGTTTTTTCTTAGTAGAGTGGAATTACAACTTGTGTTTGCTTCCTGCAATAATTACTGGTAAACATTTCACAATCTCAGTCTTCAGGAAAAAAGACATTTCTCTCAGTAAATTAGTCAAAGTCCTTCTTCATGTATTAGTTAGTCTTGCTTGAAAGTCTGTATGGCTCTCTGGCATCCCCGACGGACAGTTTTTTTTTGGAAGCAGTTATTTAATTATGTGTGCCAAAAGTGTGATATGTTAATTTTCTTCATAGAACCATTGGCAGAAAGATGCGAGATAGAGTTTTTCCCCTGGTAAATCCATGCATTGTTTCTGGTAGGCTGTTGCTGTTCTCTCCACCTCAGTTAGTCCAAGTCCAGAAGCACAGACACAGTCATAATATGGAAAAGTTCAATTAATATAGGAACAAGAATATTTTCAGTGTGAACAGAAATTTGTAAGTTCTTGGTTTTGATTTACTTGTGTTGGTAAAAAATTCACCTCCCTCACCTGGTCAGTGATGCTGTACGTGATGTCTCTCAGGACCTTCCTGGCTCCCGGGTAATGCTGACCCATATTCAGCTTGCCATTGGCAAGGATCCCCAGACTTCTTTCAGTGTGACTGCTGTCCAGTGTCTGTGCTCAGTCTGTTCGTACATCCAGGGATGCCCTGTCCCACGTGCAGAATCCAGCACGTTAATCTCTTGTTAAACTTCCTATGGTTGGTGATTGCCCAGCCCTGTAATTTGTCAAGGTTTCTCTGCAGGGTCTCTCTGCCTTCAAGGGAGCTGACAGCTACTCCCAATTTAGTGTCATTGGTAAGTTACTTATTATTCCTTGGAGTGATTTATGAAGACATTGAAGAGAACTGAGCCTAAAATGAAGCCCTGGGAAACCTCACCAGTGACAGGTCTGATGTTCCCACCCCATTCACTCTAAATAAGCCTTTGTGCCTGACCTGTGAGCCAGTTTTTCACCCATCATATAATGTGTTTATCCAGCTGTGTGCTGGACATTTTGAGGCCTGTGAGAGGCCTCAGATCAATAGCTTTACTGAAATCCACAGTTCACATCAACTGGCTTCCCCTGATCAGCTACCTGAGTTACTTTGTCATAAAAGGAAATTAAACTTCTTAAACAGTATTTCAACTTAATGAACTTGTTCTGGCTGGGTCCAATGACTGTGTTGTCTTTCAGGTGTTTTTCACTAGCTCCACAATAACCCTTGTAACTTTACCAGACACTGAAGTGAGACTGACAGGCATGTAGTTACCACAGTCATCCTTCTTGCCTTGGGACAATGTTTGCCAATGTTTGACTGGGACCTCTTCAGATTCCCAGCTGGATTGAATATGTGGAAAGAGGGCATCAAGAAAGTTCAATGGTACCTGTACTTTTACGATAAAAAAGAGAATGGTGAAAGCACAGTGAATACAACTTGTTTTTAACGTGTCACATTGATATATAAAAATAACCCCCTGCACATCCCTGCTGGGGATGGTGTGGCTGGACAGTGCCCAGGCAGAAATGGACCTGGGGGTTCTGGTCAACAGTCGACTGAACATGAGCCAGCAGTGTGCCCTGGTGACCAAGAAGGCCAATGGCCCCTGGCCTGTATCAGGAATGGTGTGGCCAGCAGGAGCTGGGGGGTCATTCTTCCACTGTACCTGGCAGTGTGAGGTCACACCTTGAGTGCTGTGTCCAGTTCTGTCCCCTCAGTTCAGGGAGGATTTTGAGAAGCTTGAGCGTGTCCAGAGGAGGCAACAAGGCTGGAGAGGGGCTTGGAACACAAACCCTGTGAGGAACAGCTGAGGGAGCTGGGGTTGTTTAACCTGGAGAAAAGGAGACTCAGGGGTGACCTTATCACTCTACAACTTCCTG